ACAGGGTCCCCATGTGATGCGTAAGTTCAAGTGAAGTTGACTTTCTCTAGAAAACAGTGGTCTAATCATACTTGATGTTAAAAGTATGAAATGGTTTATTATTGTTGTGTTGTGGTGTTAGGTGGCACTTAGGGTCTTTTGTATAATAGTGTTCTACCATTGAGCCATATCCCAGCTCTTTCCTTGGTGACTTTTGAGACATTTAAACAGTTGCCCATAAGTTGTTCTACCGAAGCAGCCTCTACTGCCTGGTTGTGTGCACAGCATGACTAGGAACCAGTGGGAACCAGATGCTGTCTCAGCATAGGCCGTAGAAAGTTCAGTCTACATTCCATTCTCCAGCACTTGCCTGTGTTAGATCCTATCCTTGGTGCTGGGAACACAGTGGGAGGTAAGACCTCCCTGTCCCCATGGAGTTTAGTACCATAAGCCAAATAATTCATATGCAAATTTGTAACTAAGATTCCTCAAGGCAAGGTTCTTGGTGCCGTGAAAGTTCATCATAGATGCCTGAACTTGGCCTCTGGGCTGTGACAGCTGAAGGAGATCTGAGAGCTGCATATGTGTGTCTGGTAGGAAACTAGAGAGTAGAAGAGCATTTCTGGCTGAAGGAAGGGCATGAAGAAAGGCGAACATGAGACATGCAGTGTGTCCATAGACCTTAGAGGAGGCCAATATGTCTCCACTCTAACCATGACGGGACGGAAGTAATGGTGTAGACCAGGATGCTGGGTAAGGAATGCTGGCTCCAAGAGCCATCGTGTGGACAGGTGCCACGACTGACCAGGCCGGGATGTCCTTTCACATCAGCCAAGGTTTTGTTTTGATTTCAGTGTTGCTGGGAGAATCCCATCATTGCACTAATCTGAAAAACTCATCAGATGGGGAATAATTGTCACATTGTCAACCCTGCACAGGTTTGTAGGCTGCCCAGGTTGCTCTTGTGTGTTCACAACTAGTCAAAGCCCAGCCGCATGCAGTAGGAATCGCCAACAGCTGCCCTCACTCCTCAGAGGCTTTCCCAAGTCTCTCACACAGTCTTGCACAGAGCAGCTGTGAAATGAAAGTGTGTCATCAAGGGGGGCTATCTAGCAACTTGTCCCAGTGCCCAGTGATAGGGCTCAAGGCTCAAGGCCTTGAACTCATGTTACGTTTTCTAGATTATAAAAAATGTATTTTTCCACAAACCACAACTGAATCATCTATATATTCTCCCCCCTCCCTCCTCCTCCTCCTCCTCCAAATTCATAGAACTGCAGCATTTTTTAAGTGGAAGAGAATCTTAAACAGCCACAGCAATCACCTTGTTGGAATCTTCATTGGAAACTTCAGGAAGTTTGAACACTTTGAGAAGCAGTAATATTTTCTTCTAAGGAGAATAGAAGTGCTATTTTCCACTAATGTAAGAGAGAAATGATTATGCTGGCCTTTTTTAGTGACTCACTATTGACTCCTAGCACATGTGCTGTAACGGAAAGATTCTGTTCCTATCCTTAATTCACTGTGACCTCGAAAGGCACATTACCTCAGGCGCCCTGTGCCTCCACACTCAGAAATAAAAACGCAAAATTACTACAAATGATGATGATACATTCTTTTTACATCAAAACACAATGCATGCACAAACAGTACACACAGAGACACAGAACCACATAGATGTACACACAATCACAAAGACACACAGACACAGAATCACATAGATATACACACAAACACAAATACACACAGACACAAGCACACAGTCACACAGACAGACATACCGCGATACAAACATACGCACATACACACAGACACACACACACATTTGTAAACACTAAGACACTGACACACAGAGAGACATGAGCACATGTAGATACACACACACACGTGACTACGAAGATTAGGAATGCAGTGTGAAGCAGATGAATCAGATAGCTTAGTCTATAACACCCCTCGCTATTCGCCCACTGTCACAGAGCTGGAAAGAGAAATTCCAACAACTGGAAAAAATTGGCAAAAAAAATATGATAGCAATTCAATAATGATGCAATCATTTATTGTACATTGTTTTTAAAAATTGCCCTCATTAAAAATATCAAATAATATTACTATAATGGTTCAGATGTAGTTTTTCAAATTTAATTAAAATTTCACTTTATAAAAGTTTTTTTGGGGGGCATATTGAGATGGGGTTTCTCTATGTAGTCTTGGCTATCCTGGAACTCACTCTATTGACCAGGTTGGCCTCAAACTCAGAGATATCCACCTGCCTCTGCCTCCCAAGTGCTGGGATTAAAGGTGTGCACCACCACTGTAGGCTGATCTCTAATATTACGTGATGAACTTGACCATTAACCTATAACAGCATGGTGCTGTACGTGGGATGTTTGTCCATGAGCACACACATTCACCTCGTGACTTTCAGGAAGGCTGTAAAGCTGCTGTAAATGCATGCTTCTGAAAAGTGCTTCACACCTCATGCCTTGATGTCTTAGATTTTACAATTATGACTATTTGAAAATAGGCAAAGCCATCAACCCTGGTATTTCGATGTTTAAGTAAAATAAGCTCCAAATCCCAGTGTTACATTTTTGCCTTTGCCTGTGTAGCACTGGGGAGCCTAGCATTGTCACAAAGCTCTCGGACATCTCTGATGAGAGAATAACAGCCAAAGGAAAGAGAGAAGGGGAGGGGAGGAAGGACAAAAGGAACGAGAGAGGGAAGGGAAGAGAAGATGGTCTGGGGTAGGGTAAAGAGAGCACTGAACGTTGCTTCTGCCTTCGCCATCACTTCCTTATGACAAATGGAAACAAAAGACCATTGCCTTTGCAGATTTTTTTTTTTGAGACAGTATTGCTGGAGTCCCCCGGTGAGGTGGCAATTTTGTGGAATTTCCCTGGGCAATAAGAAGCCAATGTTGCTTTTGACAGATGGTGTGGCCTAATCCCAGGCACTACTTCTATGTTTAATTTGCTATGGTAACAAAAACTATGTTGCAGTAATACTTACAACACTAGTCTATAATTACTGTCTTGAAAGGAGAGTCATGGTTTTGTGTTTGTTACTAATGATTAAAATGATAAATGCTCTTTATTTTTGAATAATGAGAAAATATTAACAGATATTCACAAGAAAGTAAAGATTACCTATTCAGACATGATGGTTATTACTATCTTGGGTTCAGGTTCTTAAAATGCAAACAGAAAAAAGTGATCATGCTCACTCCACTGTAGGTTGTGTGCATTCTGTCATGCAACACCTCTGTCCATCTTTTAAAATTATTGCATTATTCTTCCATTTTCCTTTGACAATATTTAGGCTGTGTTTGGTTACGATAACTTACATGCTAAAGAATATTCTTATGGGGCTACATGAGATGGCTTAACAGGTCCTCAGAGGGCACTTGCCAACAAATTGACAACTTGAGTCCAATCCCAGAGAGGATGGACTCCTGCAGCTATATTCTGATCTACACACACACACACACACACACACACACACACACACACACACACACACACTAAATAAATAAACGTTAGAAATTTTAAAAGAACATCTTGTCTGAATTTTTTTACATTTATCTTATTACGCTGGGATAAATTCCTAGACATGAACACATCTATGTGATTCTTCGAATTTTAGAAAGTGATTTCAGTGTGCCAAACTGCCCTTCAGAAACTTGGAATCAATTTTACACTCCTTGCAATATGTCCATGTTCCTCCCTATTATCTCACTTCTCACAACATAGTTACTGTTTTCAAATGCTTTCAGTTTTATAAGTTAAAAAGTGTTTTCATTTGTATTTTAATGGGTACTTCATTATTACTAGTAAAGTGAAATATTTTTATGTTTATTGTCCATTTAAATTTTCCCTTTTTGTAATTTGTTTGAACTGTACCTTGCCTTTTCATGGATTTCTAAGAGATCCTCATGATTCAAAATTGTTTACCTTTCACTGTCTATCCAGCTTGAAGATTCTTATTTGACAGACCACTCAAACTCTTGGAATAATGGTTGGTGCTTTTAATTACTCTGTAGGCCTGACAGAGGAGAGAATGTCTCTCCTGGATCATAGATTTTCAGATGTGGAAAAACCTAAAACACCTTCTATTCCAATGCCCTATGTTAATGGGTGAATGTTAGAATACAGACTTGTTTATAGTTGAGAATGCTTCCCAAGAAGAGTAGAGATGAGAATCAAAACTGGTTTATAGAGTTGATACAGAAACATGGATGGTCTCCTAAAATGAAGATGGGTGAAGATAGTTGCAGTAAGTGTCTCCCAATGACAGCAAAAGCAGAATAATCCTGGAGTGATCTTCCAATAATCAAAATCTAAGCCCTTGTGGGAAGATAAGCTTCCTGAGCCCCAGTTTGGGAAGAAAGTACAGTGGAACCATCACAGATCCCCTACACAGTAAACATGCAGGTCCACAGGAGGGAACACCAGCAGCAATTGAGGCTTGAGTTCAGACATTTCTCAGTATGGCTCCTCTCACGCTAACAGACTTATAAAGGTCATCCAGGTGGGAAGTCAGTAAGCATTCCTGAGACAGGAAACACAACTGTGACTCTGCAAGGGCTGCATGAGAAACACTTTTGTAGCCAAGGCCTCGCCGGTAGCCCAGATAGTCTGAGGAGGCTTGTGAATGTGTTTTCTGTATTGAGGAAACTCTCAAACTGACAACGTTAAAATCCACAAATTTGCATAATTAAAATATCTTTTTAAGTGTGTAAATGTATAGAACTTAGTAAGATTAAGAAAAAGCCAGCTGTCCATCTCCTAACCTCTCTACTTGTCTAAAGCTCTTCCCAGCAAATGACCTTCTAGTAAGAGCACTGAAGTACATAACATAGTTTAGTTCCTAAAGTGATTTTGTACTTAAATCTATCTTAATAGGAAATACAGTTGAATAGTTCTTCATTGTGACACAATTCAATCACATAAATGAAGAATATTTTGTAACCATTTTCCCTGTACTTGGATATCTGTGTTATTCTCAGGTTTTTTTTTTTACAGTGATGCTATAACTGAGACACTTTTGCATACCAAGGATACAAAAACGTAAGTATTTGTAATTTTGGCAGAAATTGCTCACTATCCCCACTGAGAGACTACTGAGTTCACACCCTCCCAGTAATACAGGATATGCCTCTGCCCTCACATCGCTGTTTGAGTGTGGTCACCCACAAAAAGTCTTTACTAATATGATAGGTAAGTGATGTTGTCTCAGTATGGTTTTAATTTGTATTTCTCACAGGTGACGTCATGAATCTTTTCATTGTATTTCTTTCTTATAAAATTGCTCACACCTTTAGTTCTCTTCATTTCAAATATGGTTGGTCTTTTTCATGTGATTTGTAAGTAGTGTTCATACATACTGACGGGGAATTGGCTGCTTAGTCTGTGATCTTAGTTGCACATATTTTCCCCCTTGGTGTCTTTTACCTTTACCATTAGCGTTTTCAAAATGCTTTCATTTCATTTTTAGTTTATGAATTATTTTCAACAAGGGCTTTCTGGTTCTGAGACAATGGAAGACAAAAGATAAGCCTGGAGATAGAAATGGAGAGTGTACCCTCTCTAAAAGGAGATCACATTCAAAGTCTCTACAGATTTGTAGTTGCTCCATGAGTAGCATGCAGTTAAAATGTGCTAACTACAGTCCAAGTCGGGCTCGCATGACTGAGAAACCAAAGGGAAAAGAGCAGGTACAAATGGATGCTAACACTGGGGAGAACAGACAGTAACTACCGTTACATGTCAGACAAGAAAGCATACACAGTGGTATCAGACTTTTCCAGGAAGCTCCCTTCCACCACCACCACCCCTGTGCAGCAAACACCTCCTCTCTGGATAATCCTGACAGTTTTCCTGCATGACTTGCTCAACTTACCACCATATAAATAGTACTCTTTGGCTCAAAGCACAGAGATTGTAAAACCATGCCACAATCAAGTTCAAGACCAACCACTTGTTAACTGTTTGACCCTGGAAGAGCTACTTAGCTTATTTGCACATGCCTGTTTCCATGCCTATAAAATGGAGTTATTAAGATAATTAATTGGGAGGTGATTAGGCTGCCCCAACTCCAGCACCCTGAGTTCTTACGTAAGCCTGTGTAACTTAAGTTTAACTAGCTTTGCCAGGGACTTTTCACTGGAATGATGTGAATCTGGCTATCACTCTACCCTTCTAGAGCCCGTTTGTTTTTATCGTAGGGGTATGAAGTGTTTTGCCTCCATGTGAGTTATGTGCACCATGTGCATGCGGTGCCCTTAGAGTCCAGAAGAGGGCACCAGATCCCCCAGAACTGAAGTTACACACATGTAGGACTGGGAACCAAACTGAAGTCCTCTGCAAGAGCATCACCATCAAGTGCTCTTATCCACTGAGTCATCGCTCCAGCCCCTACTGTTCTACTTTAACCTAATATTTTCTTTACCCTACTTTCACATTTTCCCTCTCCAAAAGCTTTTTCCTTGTGTGCCACTGGTGGAGCCCCAAACTAGTCCTGGAAGTGCTCAGTTCCTAAGCAATCTGTCTGACCAAACACATTCAGTGAAATGTGATTTAATATGCCTAACTTTGTCTTCTAACTGCCTATAATGGTAATTTCCTTGGAAAATATTTTTGAGGAATTCAGGTGTATTCATACTAATTCAATTGCAATGACAATATATTTAATTTGTTCTAGATTTCTTCATAAATTCCATTTGCTGAGTATTGTAGAAAGAACATTATTTTGGGGGTCCAGTATACCCACTTTATCCCCATTTGAAACTGTGAATATTTATTTAGGGAGGTAAGTTCTTGGGAGAAAGTCCTTAAGATACTAAGATGTTTCATTATTTAAATTTTTTATTTTATGGATATAAAGTTTTGCCTGCACACGCTATATATATACACCATATATGTGCCTGGTGGCCTTGGAGGCCAGAAGAGGGTGTTGGATCCCTTGCAGCTGGAGTCACAGATAGCCATGAGTCACTGTGTGGGTGCTGAGAATTGGAGCCAGGTCCTCTGAAAGAACAGCCAGTGCTCTTATCCACTGTATCAATTCTCCAGTACAAGATGCTTAATTCTTTAAAATGGTATGTGTTTCTTTCTTCTAGAGCATATGACTACATGAGAAAAAAGAACTGTGAGTCAATGACATTATGACAGCACAGAAGACATTGAAGTTTATACCAGAACCCCCACCACCTGTCTGCTACACATGTCTGGTCCTTGGGTGTAAACAATGGGGTGCACTTGGCTCCATCTGGCTGTTTGAGCTCAGTAGGTGGGTCTACTGTGTTCCAGAGCCCAAGCCATTTGCCTCTAACTCTATAGACTTGTTCCCTATTTGTGACAACTCCACGCTTCTGTCATCCCCTCAATCTTGCTCCTTCCTGGAATGTGCAAGAATTGTCAATGTTTCAGAGCAAGCACCCTCTTTAGGAGCTCCCCCAATGCCTGTTCCTATCCTTTGTAATACTTTCTCAAGTTGGAAACTATATTTTCGTGGAAGTATTCACTTAATACTTTCTACTTCATCTTTGTGGTGGCAGCTCTGTCCAATTTTGATTATCATTGGATCTTCAGTGATTAGACCAGTACCCCTAACCAAATAAATGAGAAACCGGTAATTCTAGGGCCCTACAACGTAAGAACATAGTTGATCTTGACTTAAACTTCCGTATCTATACCAAGAGCCTTTGTAGTTTTCTGTTCAGTACCATTCTGTGTAGCCTTTGCTACACATTGATTATTTTTTGTCCAGGTGGAAAATATTTAGCCCAGGGATAGAATCATATGTCAATCTAAGCTAATCATGCCGTTCCATCCACTTTCCCTGCAAGGTGTCAGTGTTATGGCACATTATTCTGGTTAATGAGTTAGAAAGAGATGTCTTCTGGGAGGCTTTGGAAAACTTTGTGGGAGACAGAAATAAAAGGTGACTATTCTTTTACACTGTCACTCTCAGACATGGACTTAAATCTGAGATAAATGTCAGATACAGCTTTATGTGACATTTGTGAAGCATCCAAGTGGTGACAGTTAGGATGAGGTAGAAATGCAGGTCAAGGCTGTAGGGTGAGGAGACAGGATCAAAAATGATGAACATCAAAGGCTGAAGCCAGAAAAGGGAAACCAGGGACCGTGAAAACCAAAAGGTGTGTACTTGTGTGAAATCTGTAGAGTGTTCGCCTAACTTGCACAAAGCTCTGGGCTCAATCCCCAATACCGGCATGCAGGAAGTGGAAACAGGATCCAAAGTTCAAGGTCATCCTCAGGAACATAGCAAGTTCAAGGCCAACTTGAGATGCAAAGCAGATAATCTATTAATTAAATATTTTAAGATATCAAGGGGAAGATAAGACCAGTGCAGAGGGAAAAGTTCAGCAAATAGTCCACAATGGGGGTGGGTCATCCAAGGAATCCAGAAAGGAAATTTTAAGCTTCTTAATTAGCTGGGAAATGAGCTAAAAAAGACATACAGGGTTGGGTTTTTTTTGCAGAAACTTTAAATTATAGTAATGGATATAAAAAAAAAGACCTGAATATGGAGTGATATATCAGTTGCATGAAGCAATTTAGAATTTTAAGAATTGCTGTTCCTAACAACATATGAGACATATATATATATATATATATATATATATATATATATATGAACACAGACATATATATATATACCTGAAATCCAAGCCCATGGGAGCCAGAGGCAGAAAGACTGTTTGAGGTTAGCCTGGGCTATGTAGTGAGTTTGAGGCCAGTCTAAATATGCAACATGATCATGTCTTAAAAGAAAAGAAAAACAGAGTATAACTTGTTTTCCCAAACTAAGTTACTGGTCCTAGGCAATTCCTGTAAAAGATCCTCCTGCACCCTGTAGGAATCCTGACAAAACAATTTTGGAATTTACATACAAGAACTGACATTCAGAAGCAGCTCATTTTGAAAGGACAAGCAAGCAAAAATGGATTGACTTAATAGATATTAAGGTGAATTACAAAGCTATAAGTTTTAAAGCAAAACCCAAAAGACAAAGAGAATGGAGAATCAGGAAGTGAGGCCAGCTGTCCATGGGGACTTGGTATAGGCTAGAGCACAAGACGAATCTCTTGGGAGACAACAGATGAATCTGTTACCAGTGTGGTGACATTCAGCCTCCCCTAAACCACCCAAAAGAAATACCAAAAGATTAAAGACATTGGTGTCAAGGGTAAAACTCTGTGGGGAAATGTGAGACTATTCATGTGGTTTGGAATAGTCTCCTGTGAAGACATTTTGTAAAGAAAACGCAAGAAGGAAGAACCATAAGGAAACGAAAACCTGATAGAATTGTCTACAAAATAACATTGCTGAGTTTTTCTAAACCAGATGTGGTGGCACACGCCTTTAATCCTAGCACTCCAGAGGCAGAGGGAGGCAGATCACTGGTGCGGACTACAGAGTGAGTTCCAGGACAACCACGGTTGCCTAGTAAGACCCTGTCTTGAAAATCCAAGAAGAAAATAAAAATCTTTTAAACAAAAAAAGGATCATAAAAATCCTGCAGGTGGATGGTTGGTTGGGTAGATGCTGTGCAGTATTCCTAGCAGCCAGAACATGCTAATTGAAGAGTTAACAGGGAAAAATCAACACAGCAAAGATGCAATGTTAGTGGTGTAAACTGGTACAGTTATTCTATTCAGTAGTCACTCAGCTCAGAAAATAAAGCCAAGTGAACACTAGCGTGTAGATCATGGGGATATATGGGAAGGGCATTCATCATCTGTGTGTGTACATGCGTGAGTGTAAGTGTGTCTGAGTGTGAGTATGTGTGAGAGTGTATGTGTATGTGACTGTGAGTGTGTATGAGAGTATGTGTGTAAGTGTGTGAGTGTTAGTATGAGAGTATGTCTCCACGGTATATGGTACATGCCTTTAACCCCAGCACTCAGAAGGCAGAGACAGGCGGATCTCTGTGAGTTCGAGGCTAGCCTGGTCTATAGAGCAAGTGCCAGGATAGGCTACAAAGCTACAGAGAGAAACCCTGTCTCAAAAAAACAGAAAAAAAGAGTGTGTGAGTGTGTGTGCACATGTGTGTGAGTGTGAGTATGTGAGTGTATTGTGTGGGAGTGTATATAAGAGTGTGTGTGTCCCCGTATGCAAGCACTTGGAAACAACATGGCACTTGCTAGTAAAGCAATGGCTTGGTTAAGCGTAAAAAAACGTGGATCACTAGTCACACTACAAAGACTAATGAGATTTACATACAATGACAGGGATGGTTTGCTGAAGCATAATTTATATTACGCACATGTATATACCCACAATTTATGTTATTAACATTATCTCCTTGTTTGTTTATTGTTTATTGTATGCAGGGGGCACATGCCACAGTGCCCATGGCACTGACAGAAGACTGTTCGCATGCGTTAGTTCTCTCCTTCATCTTCTGGGTCCAGGAGATGAAACTCATGTTGCTAAGCTTGGTAGCAAGTGGTAACACTCAGCCATCCACTGGCTCCAAGGCTTAATGATCCAACAGTGGCAGTGGCATAAAAACCTGAGCGATAAGCTCTACTCCAAACTCCTAAAGACCAATAAAAATAAATCATAAATACATAGTGGCCAAAGAACTCTCATGCTCCTCAAACTTTAACATCATGAGGATTGACTCAAGATACTGTTAAAAGAAAAAACAAACAGGCAAAACTCAAGAGTCCCCTACCTAGAGATTCTGAGCCTACATTTTGGGCAGAGATGATTTCTCTCATAAGTGAACCATGAATCGTACTTGGAGACACCTTAAGCTATGTCATATCAGTAGAATACGAACATATGAGTAGCAGGATGGTGGCCACGGGGCATTTGCATAGCATCAGCAGCAAAGCTGAGATACACAAGCAGCTGGTCCTGTCAGCACAGACTGCCTCTCGTCCATCGCTTTTCATGAGTTGGCCTCAGTGGGCTCGCCCAAAGGGTTTGGATGACAGAAACTGACAACTGCCATCTGGAGAATCTATCCATGGACAGGAAGCCACTGGAGGCATCTTCCCAAGTCTGCTACTGGATATGGTGCCTCCAGGGGGTTCTAAGCACACCCTTGCTCAGCCTGACTCATAACCATGTCTCTGCTGGGCTGCAGTTCAGGGGACGTGGGCTGTGAAAAGACACACGTGAGATAACCGGATGCCAGTGATTGAGCCTGGGTTGGTAAAAGAAGAACGGCTGGACCATCTCTCAGCAGATCTAATAGTTTCTTTCAGGCACAGACGGTCTGAGCAATGTAACCCTGTCATCCCTGCAGCATCTGCTTTGCCCTTGTCTCCTTGGTCTCTGTTTCTGCTCTGTGCTTCAACAGCTGGGCTGTTTTGTGGCATATTGTGCACCATGTGGTAGGGCATCGTAATAGTGACTGCTGTGACAGTGTACAGATGGGATGCGGTCTTAGGCTTGCCTTTGGGGATGTCTGAAGGCATGCTCAGGGCTGCATCCCCAGTCACATAAATCTACCTCCTTGTGAACTGAATACAACCAACCCAGTCAGAACTAGACTGTGGGCTGCTTCTACCATTATTTATCCAGGCACTGCTCCCCAAACTGCCCAGAGCACTGATGGGAGCTTGGACTCACTGTCCCCTTCCTAATATGCAGAATGGCCTAGTTTCTTAAGGACAAGGAAGGTTTTCTCTGAGACTTGTACAAACAGACCAGGCATATTTGTGGGTAACCAGGTAACAAACCCAGTTTGAAACTTCTTTGGACTGTGTAATTCATAGCTCCAGACAGAAATACTAATATGAACACAGACACTCCAAAGAACTAGGAACAGTGGAAAAGATTAAGAAATGATCCCACATATAGCTCTCTCTAGAAACCATCTGATTCTCCAACAGGTCTCTTGTGTGTGTGTGTGTGTGTGTGTGTGTGTGTGTGTGTGTGTGTGTGTGTAATATTTTTAAGCAAGGGGGAAATGGGAACAAAGAAAGAGAAGTGCAGAGAGTCCAGAGATGCAAATATTTCAGGCTTATTCATACTAGTAAAGTTTTCTTTCTCACCGTAGGAACTAGCTGTTTGATGCTGATTATGTGTGATATGTGAATAGCAGCCTGCAAATCTGAGGATCCTCTGTGCATCTCCAGGACTGCATCTGGCTGTGCCCACTTTAATGAGACCCAGGGCAACTGGAGTTTCTATTGTGCCCAGCATCCCAGGCAAGCTCAGAGAGCCATTCTTCTCTGGCAGTAATGTGTTTGCTTAAGCATGAATATTAGTGTCAGAAGCACTTAGCGCAAAGTGCCCCTTTTGGGGGTGAAACAGTCATTGCCAGTCTGCGTGTCTGGGAATTCATTATTCCCATCTATTTGGGGGGGAGGTAGGGTGAGGTAAATCTTATGTTTCCTAACACAACAAAACTGTAAAATACAGAAACAAAGAAACAAAAATCCCACTGCTTATAAAAATCATCTTCTAAGGAGTGAGTCCAACTGAAAATTTGGACTGATTTGTACAAGGAATGCTTTCTGAAGATCCATAAAATGACTCTTATATGGAATGTCAG